GAGCCACGCAACATTAATGTGGTCTCATATCACACAAATCTAAAATGAGGGTGAGGCAGAATGATCTTCTGAAGTCCCTTTCAGTTAGAAATGTCAATGATCTCCTAATTCTGTGACCTAGGTTGACTGTGAGATCCTCATATTTTGCCATCACAAGTAAAGAGCAGAAAACAGTAATGCTTCTAAACAAAAGATAGTACATTTTAAAAAGAGAATGTCAAAGCCTGAAGCTTTACTTGAAATTAATTCAGAGAAAAAAAATAGATTAATATAATATATAAATTATATGAGTAGTGCATAAATTCATATGTATATAAACTATGTAAATCAAAAGTACCCTGGCAAAGGGGGAAATTCCCCCCCCAAAAAAGGTGTGAATATTTACCCAAGTAGATTAATTTCATAAAGTGGCTGAGATGCCAAATGGGGAAAGAAAAAAAAAAAGCATGAAAGTAAAAAAAAAAAAAAATCAATTCATCAATTTATATTCACTAGTTCTCTATCATTGAAAATTTGACTATGTCAAATGGGTATTGCAATTAAGAGGTCTGTTTTCACATCTATACTAAATTGTTTTGTCTCAAAACAATCCTATTAAGGTGTCACTGATTTACTGCTGGGGAACCATTAGCTGGCAGCTTCATTTAATCTGTCCCAAATACCCAATACCTCACTGGCAGCAGGAATTATAAAACCCAATTGAGTTTAAGGGTTTTTAGCATCATTTTCCAAAAATTCCTTAAAACACTATTCCACTAAAGATTGACTCCAAGGATTCTAAGTGTGTACCTGATCTCTACATTAAAAAAAAAAATCCACAATTCTAGTCACTTTAATATTCTCATGCTACTGTCATGGTATGCTGCTCTACAAGTCTTTCTGCAGGAAAAAAAATTTAAATACTAAAATGTTTAATTATTTATGCCATTATTTAAAAATCAATAAATTGTATATACTTTAACATGGAATTTAAGTCATCTTTTAAGTCATAGAATATTTCCAAATGTAAATAGTTACCAAAAGAAACAGATTATACAGAAGAGTAGGCAATATATTATTGTTATAATTATATAATTATATTATTATATCAAAAGAGATTAAATATAAATTGATAAGGAATGCCTGAGAATAAGTCCTA